TACTCCCTGCAGCGCTCCTCCTGAGTGCTGCGCTGAATCCTGAAGACTACTCGTGCCTACTGTCCAACTGCCTACCCGTGAAGTGCACGGGAACTTCCTATGTACTACCGGGTGCCTCCTGACTGCAGGCGAGGCAGTCCAGGAGGCTGCTCTTGCCAATGCCGAAGGGAGGCAGGGGCTGCATCTGCAGCTCCTGCTCGAGTTGTCGTGGGGAACAGGCTAAAGATAGCCTGTTCCGAAAACCCTGTTTTTGTGCCAGAGTCCTAGGGTCGGTCGAAACGATGAGGGCCTGAAAATGGCCCTCCGTTTCAGGCTGAAAAGCCTCTGGACCTGAAAGGCCCAGAAATAGGCTGAAAACGGAATAGGGCCTGCATGCCCTCGTTTTCAGTTTCAGGCTGAAACGACCGGGGCCTGTAAGCCCTATTTTCTAGGCTTTTAGGCTGAAAGTGCGGGACGGGCCCTGCAGGGCCCGTGTGGCTACACAGTATCCCACACCCCCCCCCTCCTTGAAAGACCGAGCTTACCTGCGAGTGCGAAGCTGTCTGTCTAAGGGAGGGACCACAGTCCGGGTGGGAGGGGCCGGTCGTGAAGCTTCCCGAGCTAACCTTTGCTTCTCATAATGCGCGTAGATCATCGGTGCGGATGCTTTCAAATCTGCTCCTGAAATCCACCGAGTGTCGTTGCGATCGCAGGCTTTGAATGTCACTTTGTACTGTCGTGGCTTGCTGCCGTACTTGCGATCGGTGATGACGCGATCAACTTCCTGATGACCATCCATAGAAGGAGGGTCCTGCGATTGTCGGCCCGGAAAGTCGTCGCTCTTAGCTGGCGTGTATGTTGCCAGCTTTGAGGAGTGAAAGACTGGATGGACCGTCAGATGCGGGGGAATGTTGATCACAAATGAAGGGCCATCGGGCTCATCGCCCGCGGTTGATGTTACAGGCCATGGTCCAAACCACTTGGGAAGCAGTTTGCGTGAGACATCCTGTTCCAGTGCACACTCTTCTGCGGAAACCGAAACCAAGTCGCCGGCGCGGATGGGACATGGCACGCGATGCCTGTTGGCTTGCTGCTGCATGCGGACTTGAGCCTTTTGCGTATTTGCGTGGGCTTGAGCCAGCAATTCCCTGTACTTCCGGACGGAAGCGGGAGAGCAAGCGACATCGATGTCGGCTGGTCGTGGGAGGAGAAGGTCGGCGAAGATACGGCCTTTCCGTCCACCGTGGTGGAACTCGAATGTAGTCATGCCGATCGCCGGGTGCACCAAAGTGTTGTAGGCGAACTCGATGTCGGGGAGGCGATCAACCCAATCTTTCTGGTCCGGACGGATGAGCGTACGAAGCATCATTTGAGCGGTTTGATGTGCCCGCTCCGTCTGCCCGTCTGTCTGTGGATGCTGAGCCGAACTTGGCTTCATCTTCGTGTCGGACTCCTGCATGAGTGCAGTCCAAAATGTCGACATGAAGCGAGTGTCGCGGTCGCTGACTATGTCTTCCGGTACACCATGGCCGCAAATCCAGCCGGTGTGCAGGAGGCGTGCCAGCTCGGGAGCCATGGAGTAGTACTTGCAAGGGAGAAAACGCGCGTACTTACTCAATCGGTCCACGACCGTGAGGATGTCGTCGTGTCCGAGGCGGTCGAGGGGGAATGGTCCGGTGACATCCATGGCAATGGAGAGACCGGGTTCCTGCGGGATCGGCATCGGGCGCAGCTCGCCGTAGGGGTTGCGGTTGCGGGGTTTGCTTTGTCGGCAAACTTCGCAAGAGTCGCAATACCTCATGACATCGGTGATGAGGTCGGGCCATCGAAATCGCTGTCGAAGCCGTGCAATAGTGCGGTTGACTCCGAAATGCCCGGCGAGTCGCGAATCATGATACTCACCGAGGAGGCGAGTCCGAAGACGGCGGTCGCGTGGGACACATAGTAAGTCCTTGCCCCGCGAGTGCAGGAGCAAGTACCCATCGGCGATGCGATAGTGGCTGGCCGGTGGGTGATCCGAAGGTAGCTGCGCATATAGCGTGGCGAAATCTGGATCGGACTCTTAGCCCCTGATGAAGTGTCGCTGAAACTCCTCGTCGAATGCGAAGGCATGATGTGTCATAGCGCAAAGATCAGGTCTTCGCGAGAGTGCATCTGCTGCGCGATTTGAGAGGTCGGGAAGATGTTCCAGTGTGAAGTCAAATTGGTCGATGAAGTACATCCATCGTCCGATCGTGCTGCTCACCGTATCCTGTGTCTTGTAGTAGGTCAATGGATTGCTGTCCGTAACCCATGTGAACCTACGACGCCCAAGGAGGAAGTGCTGCCATCGCTTGAGAGTCATGACGAATGCGAGCAGCTCCTTCTTCCTTGCATCATCAAGCGAGTTGATGGGAGGCACTTTGTGGCTGAAATACTCCACAGGGTGCCAGTCGTCGCCGTCGTGTTGTTCCAAGACTGCCCCAATGCCATAGCCGGAAGCGTCCGTAGTCACTCTCGTCGGCAGGGTGGGGTCATAGATGCTAAGGACGGGTGCCATAAGCATACCCGTCTTAAGTGCTTGGAATGACTGGCGTGCGTCATCATCGAATACGAATGGCACCTTTGGCGATTGTAATCTCGTCATAGGTGCAGCAATCCTCGAGTATCCGGTGATGAATCGTTGATAGTAGCCCGCCAATCCCATGAATGAACGAACGTCTGTGGTGTTGGTGGGCTCGGGCCATACTCTTAGGGCCTCGATCTTGTCCGCAAGCGGACGGATGCCTTGTGGCATCACATAATGTCCCAAGTACTCCAGCTCCTGCTGCGCGAATTCGCACTTGTCGCGGTTGGTTTGTACTTGGCTTGTCGTAGCCGCTCCAAAACGGTGCGCAGGTGTTCCACGTGCTCCTCCAAACTCCGGTTGTACACCAGGATGTCGTCGAGGTAGATAAGTACGTATCGATCCAGCATGTATCGGAACTCCGTTGTCATAGCCGCTTGGAAAGTGGTCGGGGCATTCGTAAGGCCAAATGGCATAACCAGCCATTCAAAATGCCCATATCGCGTCTTAAACGCGGTCTTGTAACGATCCTCCTGCCGGATCTCGAGTTGGTGATATCCCGACTTGAGATCGAGCTTGGAGAAGAACTTGGCGCCGCCTAGTCGCTCGAGAAGATCGTCGATGCGTGGGAGAGGGCCGGTGTTTCTGATCGTCTGCGCGTTGAGCTTGCGATAATCGATGCACAACCGCAAATCCTTGTTCTTCTTCCGGACGAAGAGAACAGGAGCACCATATGGCGATGAGCTAGGCCGAATCCAGCCTTTCTCCAGAAGGTCGTCGAGTTGTGCCCGAAGCACAGTTAACTCTTCCTCGCTCATTCGGTAGATGCAACCGCGTGGAGGTACGGCCCCGTCCTCGAGGATGATCTCGTGGCGGATGGGCCAATCCGGTACTACTCCGTGCGGGCCTTCGAACATGTCGTTGTAGGTGTCGAGAAGCTCGATGATGCGTGGATCCGAAGATGAGTCCGTCGGTGAAGCGTCATGGGGCGGGAGGGCGTGGAGAAAGCACACCCCCATCTCCTCGATGTCGTCTCTAATGATGGAAGCTCGCATGCTTGCGGCTGATACCACATGACAACTAACTGAAGGGTGAGGAGGAGCTACCGTGCATGGGACTAGTACTCCGTTCCGATCACGAACGTGAACGGTGCGGTGGTAGAAGTTCACCGGGTGGTCCTCGCTTCGCAGCCATGGCATGCCCAAGATCATGTCGAATTTGGTGTCCAGAATGTCAAAGGACACCGCCTCACTTGAGTGAGGGGCAAAGTACATTGGGACGTCATCGATGCACCGGTCGATTGACTTGTGCGTGTGACCGTCTGCCAACGTGACTTGCGTGGGCTGGGACTTCCTTCGGACTCGTGGGCCAAGGCCGACGCGTACCATGAAGTCCTGATGCTCCGCAATCGATCAAAGCGCTGCAGGTCGCCTCTCCGATCTGAATGCGTACATATAGCAATGGTGCGTCGATGTCGTCGTACCGTTGCATCTTGAACTCGCGGTCGATCTTCGCAATGTAGGCGTGAAGGTCGACAACCTCTACTCTGACGTCCATCAACGGAGTCGGTACTGTAGTGTGCAAGTAATCCCGCAATTGTGCCTTGAGCACGTTGCAATGCAGTTTCGGCAATCGACCGGACCGGGGAAGGGGCATCCATTGGAAGACCGCAAATGTCAACGGGTCGAGCTCTTCAAGTCTTGACCATGACGTTGAATCCCTGGTGGTAGATGGCGGCGAAGCTGTCGAATCCGTTGCCGATGGTGATGAAACCGTGCATGCGGTAGATTGTTGCACGTGGAGCGGTTGGTCCAGCGGTGGGACCAAGTGGACAGCATAGTCCTCGTAAGCATATCGAGAACTTACGACATCCGCATCATCCCCAGATGCGTAGGAGGCCGCTAGCAAGGCGGCCGAATCTGGCGGAGTGGGGGGTGGAGTCACCTCACCTCCCGCGAAACTCAGTTTCCCGAGTTAAGACGAGGCCGCACATCCTCCTTGGCCTGATCCTGGCAAARGGAGGTCTTGTGCTTGGTGTTGTTGCACCAGTAATAGCAGCCGTAACGGCTGCGGTACTTGTACTCGGCCTCGGTCAAGTTGAACTTGACCCATGGTGGTGCTGGCTGTCCGTTTCCGGCCTGCGATGCTGGTTTTGCCTTCCCGTTCACTCGGGGTTTGTTGTTGCTTCGCGGCTGGACAGCAGCCACCTGATCTCCCTCACGTGACGCTTGGGTGGCTGCCGGGTCTTCCACAGTGTTGTCCTGTTGGACTGCAGCGAACTGCTCCTGTCGCGGACCAGTTCTCACCTTCTCCACATAGGTTGGCTGCCACGTTGACTTCTCGTGTGCAGCCGCCCTGTTGGTCTTGATGATCTCCCTTGCCTTGGCAATGATCTCGGCGAAGGTTGCATACTGCTCGCGATCACCAAGTGCCTGGCTCAATGCAGCGCATGACCTGTTGTAGAACTCACGGCGCAGATGCGGAAATGGTAAGTCAAGATCGGGCGTTGCCGCGATCTTCTGCCATTCCATGAGCCAGTCACGCGTTGTTGTGTTGCCTTGAGTCATGGTGAAGAGACGGTTGATGGCAAGTGTTGGTGCGTCGTTGACGATGAACCGCTTCTTCCACAGCCGTCTTAACTCTTCCCATGTGATCTTGTCTCTCAGATCTGGGACTCAGATCTGCGACGTCGACGCCGTGGGTGGCTGCCAGGTGGGTTAACCAGATCTGGCATCCGCCCTTTGAGTTCATGAACAGGGCGCCGATGTACGCGTGCTTGGCGACAAGCAGAATCCGCAGTTGCGTCGTGAAAGCTTCCCACCAGAGCACCGGGTCCTGATGCGTGTAGTCGTCGAACTTCTCCGGTTGAAAAGTTGGCATCTTGTATTTCTTTGGATTGTTCCCATCCGTGGTCGTCGTCTGCAGTTGCTGGACCTCGGTCTTCAAAGTATCCAGCTGATTGCTGATGGTGGTCGGCGCAGCGAAGGTGCTGATGTCGCCGAGCATTGCGACGACATGGTCGACGCGTTGCTCCAGTTGGCGGTTGGAGGGTGCATTGCTGGACTCACCAGCATCTGGTCCTGGTACAGCTTGCTCCAGGTCCACTGGTCCAGTACACGGGAGTTGAGTGCCCGTGTAGCATCCTCGTGGATCTGCACCATCCGGCGGAGGTTCGCCAACTCCTGGTGCTGTGTCTTCAGATCCTGGTACTGTTGCTGCAGTTCCTGGTTCTGTTTCTCTAACTCGGACTGTTGGTAGTTGCAAGTGTACAACAACCGTGTCACGAGTTTGGAGAGGAACTCCTTATGCTGCTCTTCCGGTGTCGCGTCGTCGCCGTTGGCCGGTTCAAAGTGCCAGAACTTGAATCTGTCGATGCTGCCCGCTTCACGCCGCTGCAGCAGAACCTGGGCCTCCTTGCGGCGTGCCTGGGTATCTGCGTCTACTTCGGCCTGTAGCCGCTGCTTCTCAGCTGTTTCCGCTGCTTCAGCCTGTAGGCGGGCAGCCTCAGCTGCCAGCTGGCGCTGTTCCGCAACCTCGATGAGAGCGATCTGAGCCTGGAACCGCTTTTTGTAGTCGGCAAGAGACCCATTGGCCAGTTGGCCTGGCATGCCTAGAGCTGCGCCCGTCATGGTGGCGGGGTGCTGCTGACGTGGCACTGTTGCTTACGTGGCACTGCTGACGTGGCACTGTTGCTTACGTGGCACTGTGACGTGGCACTGTTGCTTACGTGGCACTGCTGACGTGTCACTGTACCAACTCGGAAATGCATGCAAAGGGTGGGTGGGGAGGGAAAACGCAGGTAGGAAACCAACCCAACAATACTTTCCTCCCGGCCCTAATCAACAGATAAAAAAAAAA